AACTTCTCTCAAGTAGAAATCACAGTTTTAATTTTTGAAGATATATAATTTTTATTCTTTAGCTCAGCTAATTCTGAAACCATTTTTCCTTCTTGGAAAATAGGCTGTACTTGAGCTTAAATGATTGGAATTTGCCAAATGCTCCAGGCTGCAAGCCCAGGATAGTCTTAACATTTAACAGCAAAGAAGGTACAACTATTTAAGATACTAAGTCTTGCAGTTAATAAGTTTGCATCCAGGACAATTTAATATTCTGGATATTTTTTCCTAAGTGTCAATTATTGGTTATTTTATATGAAACTCGTATGTTATTTCCAGGACCTTGATAGCTATATGTGATAATTATTTATAAGACATAATGAGTAGAAATCTTGGTGAAACCCCATTTTGGCAACTGGATCCTGGCACAGCTCCATGGTAGATCAAGTATTCACAGATTTTCTGTTGCCAGATTTTACTCACTCACAAATTTGTCTTAATTTTTATTTATCTTATATATTCAAGAGAAGGGGGGAGCTAGGGGACACGTATCATGGCCTTGAGGATCACGTTAGAAGTCAGGAAAAGGCGTGGAAGTGCTTTCTAATAAGCTTCACTGCAAAACTACCCTTCCACAGTCTTTGATTTCTTTTGCTTTGGCAAATATTGTCTTATGTTCTATGGGACTCTTCTCTGCTGAATGTTCTTTTGATAGTGCCCTCACTCACCTTGCTTTTGTCTTTTGTCCTCAGGGACTGTAATTTCCTTAAATCCTTTTATAAAAGAGAAGAGTGTAATGTTTCCACTCTTTGGTCTTTTATTTGCTTGGAAAATGGTCATCTATCCCTATAGCTGCAAGGTCTGTTATTCTATGATTTCAGAGTTCATGCTGACACTCTCTTGCTGCCAATCCCAGTGAAACAAATGTGAAAACTAAGTTCTTAATGGCTGGCTACAAACCTATCTAAGCCAACTTGGACAGTCCTGCTTCACTGAGCAATCAAGAGCTCCAGTTATTTATGCTCTCCTTGACACACACAAAAAAGCCAATGGATCCAGAGCTAACAAAACACTGAAGCCACAGCTTCTCTGCCCATACTGCCCTGTTGGGTAAAGACTGATTTGTTAACAGCAGCACCAGTTCTGTGCAGAAAAGGAACTGCTGTAATGCATGTCATCCCTAGCAACTGGAAAAGTACGTCAGCTTCTGGGGAATTTACTTTGACAAGAAACCAGCTCCAGGCCATCTTATGCACAAGAGCACATACTTGTTCTTGCTCACATCTCCACGCCCTCGATGGGCTGGCACACTTCTACTCATATACATGTATTCCTGTGCATCCATAAGGAAAAGAACAGCTTTTGTGTCTTTGTGTGTGTGTGTGAATACTGACATGGTTTCACTAGTTGTTTTAATTCTGTCAAGTGATTAGGTGGTATTGCTCTTCATTTTAGAGTTTTGACCAAAAGAAAAAACAAAAAAGGAAACTGCAATGCAGCCTTTTGCATCTTTAATATGATGGGCTCCATGAAGGCAAACTGCTCTACTTGGTGGTTTAATTTAAATCCCAGTTCAGCAAAGCTCTTAACCATTTTCTTACCTCTGAATATGTGACTAGTCCCATTGGTGTCAGTGCAATAAAAATTGAACATGACAAAGAATCTTTCTATGGTACCCTTTATTATAATACAAAAAATATAAAGGAAAGAAAAAGAAGAGAAAATGAAAAGCAAAGTCTCTAGCATATAACATTTCTATGCATTTATTTCTTTTCATTTGGTGTTAAATTTAATTACTCATCAACTTTGCTTTATTTTAAAGCTTCCTGTTCCTTGTAAAATGAGTGTTTAATATCCAAGTGAAGCAGAAGTAATTTTGCAATTTAAACACAACTAAATTACCCAATTATTGACAACCAACAATCTTTCTTTAGGGTGCAGTGGATTAAAATGGCTCCTACATATAGTAAAATGAGAACACTGGAGCAGAAACATTAACTCAAAAATATTTTCTTCCTTGTGCAATGCAGGATTGTAAAAGGAGTAGCCTTGTTTCATTTTGACACATGGCTATGTGGTGTAGGCAATCATTCATTGCACCAGCAAGCTTTGGGATGGATTATCTCTGGCCTTATAGCTATGCTTTGCTATGGACCTAGAACTTACCTGTATTTACAATGAAAAATATAGCTAATTCCTATACCCTCAGATACCTTCCCTGCTGCAGGCTCTTCTTCAGCACAATAGCAGGAAAGGCTGTTCTGCTCAGCATCATCCGAGTACAGATCAAGCTATTTTATCCAAGGCCTCCCGCTGCTCCTGACACACACTGGAAATAATGGCCAGGTTTATTGCTGTGTTATTATTGCTCTAAGGTCAGACTCCCAGCTCTTTCATCCGTTCTCCTGCACTCTCGCATTCTTTCATTTGTTCATCTTGACCCAGCTCACACTTGTGAACTACAGTGGATTTGTTAGATCAAGAGCCTGCCTGCCATGCCTCAGAGCATTAAGTAGGGCAGTGGTCCTTGGGATAAATGGAGCATGATGTGGAGAAATGTTATTATCTTCTGCCAAGACTGAATATGCGTGTTGTATCTCTTGAGCACATCTCTGACACTGATTAAACAGTTCTTTTTTGTTAATATGTATCAGGCATGATCTCCCCCTCTCCCAGTGCCAATGCATGAAAGTTGAAATCACATCATGCAAAAGTTTAAATTAACTTCATTCTGTCCCACTTAGGTGAGAGCTTTGGGCAGTGCTACCATGTGATTCTTTAAACTCTTTTTAAGGTAGCATTTTTACATCCACTTTCTCTACCTGGAAACGTAACTACAATTCTCTAGTAATTTTAGGAATACTTAGCAGTTTAAGAAGACTTATCAGTTGGTGTCCATCTTATCACCAGAAGTGCTTTAGCACATGTGCCCACCCTGGCATAGACCCCATTTTCAAAGCAACCTAGCGGATTGAGACACCTGGTGTATGCTTGAGTCTGGTTTGAAATGCCGGCAGAAGCTATAGACAGTGTGTGTGCAAAGGCAAAGCAAGCAATAGATGGTCCAGAGACAGGTCTCTACAGGGTCTGCTGTGCAATTGGGCAAAACTCAGCACTGGTGACATTGCCAGGCACTTGGCAGCTCTCCATGGTTTCTGATGTTCTTCTCTTTAGGAAGTCAGACTCCCTGTGTAGTCTTCTGTGAGGAAGCCAAGAATGGTGTTACTTACAGAGCATAACCAGGTTACAAAACCAAGTAAGTCTCTCTGCTCCAGCACATGAAGGTGACAAGCTAATAAGATCAAGCCAAAGCTACAGTTCCTCAAGTCCTCTGCTCAGATCAGGATCTTTGTTTCACTGGACATTTTTTAACATAAAAAATGTTGAGAGTTATTAGGAAAAGATGAAACAAATACTATGTGTCCTGCTGTGGTGTCAACCTCAGATCTTTAGAGTGACCAAAATCGTAAGTGTTGCCTCCCACTGATGTTTCCTCACAAAGCTGACCTGATAATATCCTGCAGACAGTCGATGGATGTGCTGTCTGCCTTGAGAAATGCTAATGCTTTGGACATGTTGAGATCTACAGACATTTTGTGTGTCTTGTGCCCAAGACAGGACTAGGCAAGTTGGTAACTGTTGTTAACCAGAAGCCTGGCCTTCAAGTATGCCATTGGGACAGAGTATGGACATGCCACCTGTTTCTGCTCTGTCTTTCCAAATGGAAACTCTGTGGTTACCTTCTGTTCTCTGGAGGGGAGAATGATTTCTCCTACTTTTTTCAGAGGGTGGGAGGGAAGTGTTGTAGTGCTGCTTATGTCTTACTGAGAGTACTCATTGCTTAGAGCAAGGATATATCACCCAAGGTAGCAACACCAGGAGAAACTCAGTTGTAATGAGTCCCAAGCCCTCCAGATTATAATGGCCAAGATATTGCAGACCAAGTGAAGGAGACACTGGAGAGTGACAGTAGCCATCTCCTTGCTCTCAGAGATTTCTGTGAGGAGGCTTCCTCCCAGCAGCAACTGCTGTTTTCCTGATCTTCTCCACTACTGCAGACAGGGTGGTGCCTTGAAGGAGACCAGTCACTTTATGGTCCATCATGGGATTCCCCAACACCACTTGTTGCTGATGAGTTTGGCTATATAATGATACTGTGGCCATTATATGTATTCAAGTCCATATTGTGACATGATTAAACTCATTAGACAAAAGGTCAGTGAAGTTTTAAGCAATGAGTTATGACCTTGGGTGAGGATAGGGAAATTCCTCTATTTTTGCATCTGTGGGTTCCAGTCCCACAGCAGCCTCCATGCAGGTGGATCCCCAAAGCCATTATCCTTTGCCACCAGAAGCCTCCTGGTCAGGACTAATGCCTGTGTGTGAGAGAGATTAATGAGTTCCCTGCACTCGTGTCCTGGATTATAATTACCCAGTGGCTTTCTGCCAGGTCCAGTTTTGAGCCCTGTCACCGAGATATTGGAGGTGAACCCACCCAGCACTATCTGGAGGGAGCAGGCTCTAGCCCATGTTCCATGCAAACCCTCAAGATCTCTGTTTAAAAATAAAAATAAAAATCCTCAGATGCTGCCTGGAGAAGGAGAAGAAAGAAAAGGGTCGAGAAAACCCTCTTCCTACTGCAGCTGCTGTGGGGAGCATTGTGATGGGCACTCCCTGAGCTGGGGGCCAGAGGGACATGCACCCCATGGCTGGCATGCTTGTGGTGCCAGAAGCCTCTGCTTCTGCTCCCTCATGGCATTTCCCCTGGGTAGAAAATAGAAACTGGCCAAGCAAGTGAGCTTGGGGTCCTGTCTCCTGAGCTCTAATAGAAAATTAAGAGGAGGCATTTAAACAGCTTGCCCTCTTGAATTGCTTGAGCTACACTGAGTTGCACCCCACGTTCACTGCCTGAGGTGGACGGACATGCGGACAGAAGCCTAGAAGAGTGCTTTTTCCTTGGTGAGCAGAAACACTTCCTCCCCTGGCTAACGCTGGGCCATGTCTCTCTGTTTCTCTTTCAGAGACCTGCCACATCGGCTGGGAAGCAGAAGCAGTACCCCTACTGAGCCAGCCCCCGGGCACAGGCACTGCCAGGCACCCCAGGGACTTGCTGACATCTGGATAACGATGATGAATGAGAACTTTTCAAGTACTTTCTTTCTGGAGCGGGTGTGGGGTGGGACAGTGGGTGGCCCCCAGGGTGGGCAGGGATGTGAATGGTGGTGCAAAGCCACCAGGCAGGCTGGACAGGGACAGACTTTCTCAGCCAAGCCCACCCGTGGGTCTGCTCTGCAAAAATACAAGCAAGAAAAACTCTGCTTTGGCAAGTGGTGAAGTTCTGCGTGCACCCATTAACGGAGAGGTTGGTGAGGGGGTGGCAGTGCCGGGGGGCTGGGGCAGTGCCTGGCAGCCCCTCAGCGCGACGCTGCCCAAAGCACACACGCACACACAGGTATTGACCATGGCACAAAATGAGTAGAGAGGAAACATTTTCTTCTTCTTGCTTTTCTTTTTTTTTTTTTTTTTTCCACTTCTCTCTGGTGGTTTAAAATTCAGTGTTGCAACACTTTTTAATCTATACATTGAACTTAATAAAAGGACCAATAAGCCACTTTATCAGTATTTTGTATAATCTCTACACATTTTTCTTCCCCAAACATTTACCCACTGCTTATTCAGCCCTATATAACTTTTATTAAGCCTCTGTGTTTTCATCATTATTACAAAAATGCAACATAATTACTTGGCATATGTAGCCTTTCCCTATAGTACTTTTATGAAGTGCAGTCAATGGACGTTTTTCTGTCCATTGGAAATTCCACTCATGGTACTGTAGAGCTCTGTTGGTTACGTACAACTAACAGGAAACTTATTCCAGACATAGATTTCTGTTGCTGTTATGTTTAGCTCATTGATGTTGTATTGTGCTGTACCATGTTTATTATTTCAATACTCATTTTTGTAAAAATATATATATAATATGTGCTATTTTATGTTTGTATTTGAAAAATCTCTGTAAATAAATTTTTCCTTGATCAATACTTGCAATGCCTGGTTGGAAAAGTTCCTTTCCAGATCCCTGCTGGAAAAACCCTCAGAAACAATAATGACTTTTATAACCATGCTGTATCCTTTCTTCCTGTAAAACACATACATTTAGGGTTTGGTTACATTGCCTGAGGATAGACATCTAATGCCATTTGAGGCATTCTTGTGTATCCCACATTTTTGTGGTGTCCTGCAAGACTTCAGGGAGACCTTCTCCATTCTGGCCTGGCCAGTGCGGACTCAGCATCTCATACAGTGCTACATATCCCTGTTTAGGCAACTGAATCAAGCTCTTACTTTCTTGATAGCATCAGTACTGATAAATGCCTGCTAGACAGTATGCCCTGCACAGAGCACTGGCTCTGTGCGCACACAACTCAAAAGACAGTCTTTTATTTTCTTTAAGAAACAAGAAGTGAACTTAGAGCATGGAATGTTGTAAGGGGTTTTCAACCATGAGATTAACTGAAGTTATTCTCTTTCAGAATTGTTTTTCTGCTCTTGTCTTCCCAATATTATATTCCTGTCATGTATTTCTAAGTTACCATCTGTGTTCTAGGTGTGGTTCTGGTGGTTCGCAACACTTAGAGCTGTTGGAACTCTGAAATCATGCAGTTGCTTTGTACACATTACACTGGGCAGCTTTTTTTGAGATACGTGGGAATAGCAATGTCAATTTACAGTGATCAATCCTGAAATCACTGAACTGAATTTTATTGAGTCTCATTATAGGCTAAGCACTATTTATTTGGTTTATAGTGCTGTGCAGTGAAAACAAAATTGTACCTTACCCCTTGCAGATTAGTCCATAATAGCCCTATCACATCTGACTGCAGCTCTGCTGAGAAGCACACCAGGCATACTGGGGGAGTTTGCCTCCCTGCATGCTCTTCCAGTGGCACCAGCAGCAGTGGGACATGGAACTCTTCCCTCTTGCTTCCGGGTGCCAGGGCTTGTTCCTTCTCATGAGTACTCAGGGCCATACCCAAACCTGCTGCAGAAGATCAGTGCCATTCTCTATACACCTTCACAGTACGTATCAACATGACTGTCAGAGTTGTGGATTGCTGCTTTATTAAACCTGAAGGAGACATAAACACAACTTTGGCAGTGGTTCCCCTGACTCCAGTAAGATCTATGGCAGGAATCTCAACAGAAAAATGCTGCCTTTGTGTAGTATGTTACTGTGGAAACATGCCTTTCCTTCCACTGAAACTGTAGTTTGCTGTATAAAGTTTCAGTGAGTTGGCTGTAAAAATATAAATGTTATTATTCTAAATTTCACATGCTCTAGACTATATCCTGGCCCATGCATCATGGACAACATTATGAATTTTTTTAGGTCTTCCTCTTCTGAGGTTTGGGCTTGATTTATCATGACAAACTGAAACCACACAATTACTTAATGAAGAAAATTAGGTTTTTGTTACTAAGCAAGCAATTACAACATGACTGACATTAACTAAATTTGCATAGAATGTCTTTTAAATTTTGAATTGAATAAAATGCCATTTAAAAAAAAAAAATCAAGCCAATGATATATGCTGCACCTGCCTTGTGGCTGTTTATCATATAGCCTTCAGCTGCTGTCATATGAATAAACCAATCTCAGCTTAATTAGGTTTATCCATATATTTACATTTTGGTTCTGCTATCTATTTTCCACTAGTATGTAAATACCATTTATTATCACGGTTATCAAGCCTCACAGCTACAAACTTTAATAACTTTGGACTGAGCAAAAGCTTGCTTTCCATTTCACAGTATGAACTTTTAAATTAAATATTTACAATATTTGCTATGTTTAATTTTCCATTTATTTATTCTTGAAGATGAGGAGCTTGGCCTTGCATTTGTCAAAACAAAATACATAAGCTTACACAGACTCCCAGGTGACTGAATTCTGTTCTTGCCATTGCTAGCAATCATATCACAGAATCCTGTTCATAAATTTATCAAGCTGTATTTTAAAACTACTTAAGCAGTTTTCTTCCTACAACTACCTTTGAAAATTTATTTTAAAATCTCACTCTTTGGATGATTAGATACTTTCTAAGTTCCAGACCACCCCATGTTCTAGAGCTCCTTGTCAACAGAGATGTCAGAGGTCACAGTCTACTTCAGGTTAATCTTCTGGGAGCAAGTTTCATCCATCACTCCAAACACAGGAGCTGTATAGAAACAAATCACTGAATCATAGAATTATAGAATAGTTTGGGTTGGAAGGGACCTCAAAGATCATCTAATTCCAAACCTCCTGTACATGCAGGAACACCTTCCCCTAAAGCAGGTTGCTGCAAGCCCCATCCAACCTGCTCTTGAACACTTCCACAGAGGGGGCATCCACAACTTCCCTGGGCAACAGGTGCTAGTGTCTCACAACCGTTATAGTGAGGAATTTCTTCTTAATACCTAATGTAAATCCACCATCTTTCAGTTTGAAACTGTACCCCCTTATCCTATCACTAAACCCTTTTAAAAAGTCCCTCCCCAGCTTTTCTGGAGGTCCCCTTCAAGTACTGGAAGGCCAGGTCTCCCCAGAGCCTTCTCTTCTCTGGGCTGAACAACCCCAACTCTCTCAGCCTGTCTTCATATCAGAGGTGCTCCAGCCCTCTCATCATCTTCATGGGCCTACTCTGGACTTTCTTCAAGAGCTTCATGTCCTTCCTGTGCTGGGGGCTCTAGAACTAGACACAGTACTCCATGGTTCTGGTCTTGAAAACCTCCAGGAATGAAGATGCACAACACCTCTGGGCAGCCTGAGCCACTGCTTGACTTTCTCCATGGGGAAGCAGTTTTCCTTATAACTGATCTCTTGTTCCAACTAATGACCACTGTCATTCTCCCACAAAGAGCTCATCTCCATCTTCTGTCACTTTTCCATAGTTTGTGGGTGGCTGCTATTGGGTTAGCATCCTGTCCCCCCAAAACCATGTTTTCACCAGGCTGAATGAGCCCCGACCCTCATTCTCCTTGCACAAGACAAGCCCTCCAGCCCCCAGGTCCTTTCCACATAGCTGCTTCCTTGCCAGGCAGCTCCTGACCTATGTCACTGCAGGGCTTCTTCTTTTCACAGATGCAGGACTTGGCATTTGTCCTTGTAGAATTTCACAAAGTTCCTGTAATCCTGTTCCTCCAGCCTATCTCAAGTCCCTCTGAATGGCAGCACTACTCTGCAGCATATTGACTGGTCCCTTCAGTGTGGTGTCATCTGCAAATTTGATGAGAACACACTCCTCCATCTCTTACAGGTCACTGATAAAGCTGTGAAACAGGACAGGTTGCAGGATAGACCTGCCATACCTCAGCCGCTACAGGAATCCAGGAGTGGTTTCACCAGGAGCCATGAACTGCTGAGCCTCATCATCCAACCAGGCTTTTCCTCATCTAGTTGCCTATCCAACCAGACCATAATATCCCAACCTGGGTACAGAAAAAACGTGGAAACCTGTGTCAAAAGCCTTGCCAAAATCCATGCAAATGACAACCACTGCTCTTCTCTTAACCGCAAATCAATCATTTTACCATGGAAGGCCACCAAATGCCTAAGGCATGGTTTGTTCTTGATAAATGCATTCTGCTCCCAGTCATTGAAACCAGGTTGTATGGGTCTACCATTGGAAATAAAGTGTTGGGATCCTGTTACCTTTTTGTTCTTAACTTTTGCTTTACATGGCTAAATACAGAAAAAAAGGATTGTCAACAAATCTAGAAATATGAAAGGTAGGAAAAAAATTGAGATCTGGGAGCTGGAAATTTACTTTGTATAGAATTCTGAGTGAGGCAAGTAGAGGTCAAAGAACTTGGTGCTATACTTTATTTATGTAAATTAGTCTTTGGGATTGACTTCAGGAGAACACATTTTGAGGAGGAAATTCTCCCACCCAAACCCCAGAGAGCTGTGGATTTTCTTTGCCTATGCAGCAGTGTGCAGTGCCAGGGGTCTTCTGAGAAGTAACACAGTATTACCTGAGAAGGCAAATGCAAATTCTGTCACTCAAGCATTAAGTCAGAGAGAAGCTTTTCTGCATAAATATGAGATATGTGAAGGCCCTGTCTCGAGTATGAGAAGACGTT